GGCCGTTAATATTTTATTTTTAGTCCCATAGGCCGAAATCCGAGCCAACACGCCTGACTCCATCATGATCTTCATTATATTCAGACCATCAGTTATACCATCCGACAATTTCATATTCTTAGGTAAACTTATATTGAAGGTATAGGTTCACCGTGCAGCAAACCTTACGCCCTTCAAAGTTGTATCCTCCTCCGACCAATTTACATGGTGAAATGCTCACCAATTTATGGTTAAAGTTAAGCCTGTCGATGTGATTGACAGCCACTCTGAAAAAACTTTGATCCGCTTCGATGGTTTCGACAATCCCACCGGGCTTCTAGATGGTGATCCTATGATGCATAGACGAGGTTACATATCCTACTCCATGTAACCATTCTCTACCTAATAGCAGATTGTAGTTTGCTTTAGTCGACACCACCATAAATAATGCTAGCCTTGTGGTGGTTCCCACCACTATGTCGACTTGAATAACCCTTAAGGGTTTGCTAGTTTTGCCCTTATAGTTGGACAATACCATGTTGTTACATGCTAAATCTGTGGTAAATTTGCCTATATTTCCAATAGGGACTAGGGTATAACATTGGCATATGCTCTACAGTCGATCAAAACTTTGTTGATCCCTGCACCATTTACCTTCGCCCTTATATACAAAGTCTTCAAGTGTTGTTTCATGGCCATGTAAAACCTTTCAAAAATGGCACGATCTTCATTCATTGAGCCATCATTCATTAAGTAATAACACTGTGGTTTATGGGTAGCAATTTCTTATTCAAAACCTTCTTCCTCAATCACTTCTATGACTGTGTCGAACTCTATGGGCAACACATATATCATATTGCGAATGATATTTAATTTCGGGTTAAACCCTGGATCGAAGTTGTCTGTCTCCATATCAATGTATTTGGCTGCTCTATCTTTCATTGATTTCTCCTTCTTTATGGGTGATAGAGGGGGAAACAACCTTTGCTTGATTGGTCGTCAACTAAGTCGACCTTTATTGACATATTGAATGCTATTACTTTTGCTGGAGCTTCTAGCCTCTCGTGCAACTTTCTTATTTCTCTGGTGTCTCCTCCACTGAGTCCTAGTCATGAGGTTTTTTCCCATGTAGTTTTGCGAGACATAAGGGTTTTTGGCTCTGTAAGGGTTTTTCCTCTCTAACACTTTAGCAGCTTCTTTGTCAAATACAAAGTTGCAACTGGGACATAACATTACCTCTGAATCTTTCAATCAACAATGATTCAAAAAACGACCAACTCCTTTTCATCTTTGGGATAGGCCTTCACTACTTGATCCTTGTAGTTTGGTTTGTTGTCTTCAGCCTCAACGCTGTCAATAGTGTCGACAACCATGATGCCCATTGGCTCGACAAAGAGCCTCAACTTTTGTTTCAGCTTCCTCTTCTAGGCATGGTTTTTTCTTGTCAACAAACTTGAGTCTGTCATTTTTAAGAGCATTTTGCACCAGGCCCTTGGAAAGTGTACATTGAGAAGTTTTATGACCCAAAAAATTATGGAATTTACAAATGCCTTTTTTTTCTTTCTCTGTTCTAATGGTGGGGCTTTAGCCCCTTTAGGAACAACAATTTGTCCATCAACAACTAATAGATCAAAGATTTATTCACTTAGTAATGTTGAAGGTATATGTTCTAGCAACAAATTTTTCATTTTTAGGCTCAATAGGATTTTCCCCGTTTGAGGGTTTCAGCAACTTGCATGTGTAGGGAGGCTCTGATTTTAGTTTGACCACATTAATCTCATTCTCTTCCACATACTCATACTCTGAGTCAGATGAGTTTTCTATATTGCCGACGTCGAAGACTCATCATTATTTCTCTTTAAAGACACTTCATGAATGCTTTCTCATAGTAAAGATCTTTTCATTGACATTTCTTATAAGAGCAATACACATAGTTTTCCCCTTAAATGTAGTTATTTATTATATGTCACTTTCATATCTCCTTTTCTCATATTCAAAGCTTTTGATTTCGTGGGACGTGATCAAAATACTAGCTTTTGATGTCAATTGTTGGGTTGAATATAAGTGTAGAATGGTATTGGAAAAAGAGAAATATATATATATATATATATATATATATATATATATATATATATATATATATATATATATATATATATATATATATATATATATATATATATATATATATATATATATATATATATATATATATATATATATATATATATATATATATATATATATATATATATATATATATATATATATATATATATATATATATATATATATATATATATATATATATATATATATATATATATATATATATATATATATATATATATATATATATCTGTGTGTGTGTGTGTGCGCGCGCGCGCGCTTAATTGCAATTTTGGTCCCTCTATTTTTTTTTGAGTTTTAATCTCCCTATCTTAAAATTTGGAATTTTTGTCTTTCTATTTTCAATTTTTTTGAGTTTTGGTCCCACTATTAAATCCAAAATTTTGATCCCTCTATTTTCATTTGTTTTTATAGTTTTGATCCCCTATTTTAAGTTTTGTTTTGAATTTTAATCCCCTTTTCCAATTGGGAAAAGTTTTAAAAAATGAAAATAAGGGGACCAAAACTCACAAAAAATGAAAATAAGGGGACCAAAGTTTTTAAAATGTATAACACATAAACATTTTTGAAAATACGTGTTATGGACATAGTTCACAAATTGCTTAATGATCATAAAATACAATGAAAAGCAGATTGATGAAACTACTAACATACAATATGTCAATTAATTAATTAATTTTGATTCACAACGAGGTGTTTTGAGTGGAAATTTGTTAATCAAACGAGAATCTAATATTACAAGTTTATAAGATATAATAATTTGAAAGAATGTTTAGAAGATAAGATCTAACACGTACGTAAGTTAAAATATTAAAACATTATGGGCGATAAACTTAACAACATACAATGCTATGCGATAAAGCCGTAAACCATATAATGCTAGAAAATTATTAAAAAACTATGAACATTCAAACTAAATGGAAAATTAGAAGAGAAGGAAAGAAAAATTATACATTAGTATTTATACAGGTTTATTGCGTGGTTCTGGCTTATACATAGTCCATTCTCCAATGAAGAACCATTCAAAATTAGGTGCACTTCTACTATTTCACAAATCAATACATAGTGTTTTTGTACAACAAATAATCAAAGACAATATTAAAAAATTAACGTTGAATGCTCAGCGAACACTTAACTGAATCTTAATTTTTCTTTTGCTGAACACATTTCACAACTCCACAAAGATATCCACTCGATCTTGAGCCAATTGTCTTTCCAAAACCAAAACACTTTAAGATTTCGTCCGCATGGATCTTCACTCGATCCTATCGAAATTTTGTTTGAACCTTTGAATTTCTAAAGGAGTTAGACACTCTAAGACATTCGGATTAGTCTTCACTCAATTTTACCGAAATCCCTTTAGAGAAAAAATTAATATTTTTCTTTATTGGAAATCAGTCTACAAAAATTATAATCACAATCTGATTCTTCAATTTGATAACACAGAACACCATTAAAAGTTAAGATATTGTTTAGAGAGAGAAACTCTCTTCTCTCTTTAAAACTAGGGTTTTTCCCTCTTGGAGAGTGTCACCTCGCATCCTATAAGGGTCCCTCCTCTGTCATCGGAGCTCTCTACCGCCAATATGATGGTTGTCTCATCTCAAATAGAGGTCCATCCCCCACTACAAGTCTTTCCCCCGACATGCTCACTTTGATGAATCACTAACCCATGTTGCTTTCCTGTCGTTCGTTAACCCCAATCTCCGTCAAGAGTTTCTCCCACTCTGCCAACAACCACCAGTAGATTATAACTTCAAAATCATCTCACCCAACTAATGGGTCAAAGTGGTTCGGACATGAAATTCGACCCCCACTAGAGCCTCCACCAACCGAAGATATGAAATCTTTGGAGTGATCCAGTAATGACTTCTTTTATTGTGTTTGTGTTTATATGACTTCTGTTGTTTCTTGTTGGTGTTGTTTTGTGGTGTGTGTTGTTCTTAGATCTAGGTTGTTGTCAGTTTGTGTTCAAAGTGTTTTTAAATTTCTCAAAGAAGTTTGAATGAAGGATATGTGTTATTGAGCAAAAATCTAACTAGGTTTGCTGCAAATCAAAATACTCTTTTCAGTCAACAAATGATTCCTCCATAAATTATGAGTTTAATCTTTCTTGAGAACCTGTATAATTGAATTATGTGTGAGATAACTAAACAAATGATCCATAATTGGATAAATTTAAATACTGTGATTCCAAAATTCACTTGTCTTTTGTGGATGAATTTTGTTTGGTTGTTTGGATTGAGGAAGTGGATTGACAACACTCTTTTGACTTCTATTTTCTCAAAGCATTCCGTTTTCCTTAGTTGGAAGGCTATTTTATAAGTGTTGTTGTTAATTTGTGAACGTTAAATGCCCAAACCCAATATATTTCTTTTTATTTGTACACTCTCTTTTGTATTTAATTCAAGAGTTTGTTTCCTGTCCAAAAAGAACACAAACAACCTTCACATTTTTATTCAAAAAATATCTAAAAAAAATAAAAAACTCAATGAATTCATTAGTCATAAAACATAAATTGCAACCCTCATATGAAATAATCCTCTTCAATAATTTGACTTCTAAAACATACCAATAAAATTAAACTATAGGATTGAAAATAAATATTTATTCTAGTTAAGACAAATAAACTTAAACAACCTTAGAGAAAGAGATAAAAGTAATTTTAAAGTGGGTGCAAATAGTAGCACTGACATAAACTTCATGTTCTATTCTTTTCGATTCGGCCCAATAACGATACCCGACCCACTGAACTCGTTACAGTCCAGGGTTTCAATCGAGCACATATAATAAACCCAAACTCTACAAACCTCTTTCTTTTGCCAAGGTTGTTAGCAGCATCAGAATCCAAAACCCTAGCTTCTTCCAATCTCGGAACCACAATTTCAACCATGGTACGTAGCAATTTAGATTTAGATACATACATAGATTGTCTCAGATTTTTGTTTGTAATGTAATTCAACATGTGACACTGATTCGATGTGACTAAGGTTGTCTTTTGCTCCTAGATTTATCTTAGTAACGTAAATCGACTCATGACGCAGATTCGATGTAACTAAGGGTGTCTTTTTTGTTGTTTTAGTATAGTCGTCGAAGAGAAAGGTTAGGGAGCCAAAGGAAGAGACTGTGACTTTGGGTCCAGCTGTTAAGGATGGGGAGCATGTTTTCGGTGTTGCTCGCATTTTTGCTTCCTTTAACGACACTTTCATCGTTAGTATCTGAATCACTTTTTTCTAATATTTTTAGTTTGAATTATTGATTTTTTGAAGTTTGATTTTGATGATTTGAATTGTTTGTAATTTGCAGCATGTCACTGATTTGTCTGGCAGGGAAACACTTGTTCGTATCACTGGTATGCACAACTGTTTTTCTTCATGCTTATTTGGTTAATTTTGTGTTTCATGATTCTATTAACTTTATTATTTTACACTTTATGCTATTTTAATTGAAATCCTTATGTTTTTTTTATAAAAATGAATTAGTTAATGAAGTTTTGCATATATTATTCACTGAACAATTTTGTTATGCTCTTTGGGAAATTTCTTGACAGATGATGTATCCTTCAGTATTGTCCTTGTATTGCTGTAGTAATGTTTATTAGCATTTAATCTAAAATTGATAAGATTTGTATCTTGTTAGAAAGAGATTGTCTTTTTGCTTTTGAAAGTGTATGATTTGAAATTGTGTATGTGGATATGTGGGTATTTTAAAATAGCTCTGTTTTTCTCATGTCTATGTTTTCAAATTTCAGGTGGAATGAAGGTTAAAGCTGACAGAGATGAGTCATCTCCTTATGCTGCTATGCTTGCAGCACAGGATGTTGCTACCAGATGCAAGGTTGCTACCAGATGTTTTCAATTAACTTTGTTAATTTTTCACTACTTAAATGCTTTGTTGTCCTTGTAGTTTCTGAATTGGTGTTTGAATGTTAATGTTTTGTAATGGAATGTGAAACCTGTTCATTGAGTAGTATTGTATTCTGTCTAGCTGTTAAGATTATTGTACTGATTCAAAACATTTTGGAGCAGGAGCTGGGTATTACTGCACTTCACATCAAGCTCCGTGCCACTGGTGGAAACAAGACCAAGACACCCGGCCCTGGTGCCCAGGCTGCTCTCCGTGCCCTTGCTCGGTCTGGAATGAAAATTGGCCGTATAGGTACTATGTATTTCCTTAATTTTCCTTCTTTGCTTTATCATTATATAGGTTTGGCTTTATTGTCTATGATAATTTTTGATTATGCCTATCAGCTTCAATAACTATTAGAGAAACATGAATATCATGGCTCGCTTGTTGCACAAACCATTTACAGATGCATATGCTCTCCTTAGATAAAACTTCAGGCTTTCTTGTTTGGTTGTTGCTGTAATTTCCTTTGGTGAGTGTTGTGTATATCTCGGATAACTAGTTGCACAAACCATTTACAGATAAATAGGTTATCTTTAGATAAGACTTTAGGGGTTTCTTGGTGGTGGCTGCTAGCATGACAGGAACTTGGCAGTAGTTGCACTAAAATAATTTGGCAATTGATCATTGCCTAACCTCCATTTGCTTATTACTGAATCACCACTTAAATCTGATTCTCACTAAAGGATTAATGTATCATACTCTTATTTGTGTGACATGTGAATGTGACTTTTCCGTGTCTTAAATAATTTGATTTTTGAATGACATTTGCGTGAAACTATTGGCCTTTATATTCTGGTCGGGGTGAAAATGGCTTATTGTAGCTTATTTCCATTCCGCATTTTCATTCTATTTCTTGTCATATATTCTAAGGATTTTGCTTTGTATCTTATTTTTCAGAGGATGTTACTCCCATTCCTTCCGACAGCACCCGTAGAAAGAGTGGTAGAAGAGGAAGAAGGCTCTAGATTATCTCTTATGGTTTATGGAAATCTGGAGTTGTATCTTTTACTTTCCATGCAAAACATAATTGTGGCATTTTGAAATTTGATATTTAGCCAAGTTTTATTTCAACATTAAAACATCAAGTTTTTCTTGTGTTATGTTTAAGAATTGAGTTTTATCTGAATATTAATTTAGAAAACTACTGAAAATTTTGAATTTTTTGGAATGTTGCTTTCTTCGAAGGTTTCGTTTTTATGTTTTGTTTATCTGTCAACTGTCATGAAAGGAATGAAATTTATGATCTGCATGATTCTACACAATTTTTAAAGATTATTTTACTTTAGTTCCTTCATAATTGTGAAACCAATTAACAATACCACACAAAATTACTTACTATTCTGTTATTTATAAATTTTTTTTGAACTTTATGTACCATAAGTTGTTCCGTTAGAATATGGTTTGCGATATAAATAGTTAAATCTTGTATACTTTTGTGCAATTTTCATTTGCTTCACTTCGTTATATTTTATTTTGAACCGTAAATATACAATTTCCATTAGCTTAGGCAGTAGTAGGGGCCTCCTGCACAACTCTGAGACACCAGCGCTAACAGAATCCTCACTTTTGCACTCTGCATGTTTGTTTTAACATTAAAAAAATGATAACTTTTTTAAAAACATTAAAAGATTCGTTAAATTTGTTTTATTATAATTGAAAGATAATTTTGATATTTATAATGTAAATCTATATTATTAAAGATGAAAATATAGTTGAAATCATGATTAAAAAGATGTATCATAAATTTGATTTTTATAAAAAACTATTTAAAATTGTTTTAAAATTAAATATTTTTAAATATTTTGATATCTAAAAAATACCTTCAATAAAATAATAAAATATTTAAAGATTATTAATTTAATTAATTTTTTAATTGAAGATTTTTTAATTTTTTAATAAAATGATATATATATGACAACAAAAAGATTAAAGAATAATAACCTCAATTTAGTGCATTTCTAAAGCCATATGACAAACCATTAAAGAATAATAACCTCAATTATGTGAGTTGAATTAAGAATGGGAACCCTTCTAGGGCCTAAACATCTCCAATTTCTAGGAATCATCCACCACCTCAAAGAACATACGCTTATGTTTTCAATTTCTTTAATTGTGAAAAATCAGGTGATATTGCTAAGAGACGTAAGAGTATGCCTAAACTTGCTACTGGCTCTAGTGCATAAGTTAACCTGAATGATGAGAAATTTAGTGCTATGATCAATGAAATTAACATGGTTGGTAGATATGATGGTTGATGGATAGACACTAGCGCCTCTTGTCATGTCTATTATGATTGTGCTATGTTAACATACACGAATGTTGAAGATAAGAAAGTATTGTTGGGAGATGATCATACCACTAATGTTGCTGGAATTGGAGACATAGAGCTAAATTTTACCTCAGAAAAGACTTTAATCTTAAAGGATGTCATGCATGTTCATGAGATTAGAAAGATTTTTTTTTTCTGGGTTTCTTCTGAATAAGGCAGGGTTTAGTCAGTCTATAGGGGAAGATTTGTACATTATCACTAAGAATGATATTTTTATTGGGAAATGGTACATCGCTGATGACATGTTTAAGTTGAATTGAATAAAATTTCTCCTTCTGTTTACTCCTTATGTGATTTTAATGTTTGGCATGCTAGACTTTGTCATGTTAATAAGCGTATTATTTCTAATTTAAGTAATTTAGGCCTAATGCCAAAATTAAATGTCAATGACTTAGAAAAATTTAAATATTGCAGTTAAGCTAAAATAACTAAGACTTTGCATAATTTGACTAAAAATAATAAATGTTATTTCATCACTTTTATTGTCGATTTCTCTGATTATATATATGTATACGTAAAGAATAAAAATGGAGTGCTAGACATGTTTAAGATTCATCTGAATGAATTTGAAAATCAATTTAGCAAGAATATTAAGAGACTTTGTAATGATAGAAGTACTTAATATGATTTCTTTTTTACTTAATGAATTTTTTAACTACATGGAATTGTACATGAAACGACTTCACCATATTCTCTTGAAATGAATGATAAAATATAAAAAAAGAATAAAACTCTTACTAAACTAGTCGTTTCTATTATGCTGAATTCTAGTGTTGCATCTCATTGGCAGGGGAAAATTCACTACAACAAATAATGTTTTTCATGACGAAACTTTCACCTCAAACTATAGAAAAATGAGGTATAAAGCCAAGGAGCGCCATTTTTTATTATTTTGAAAAAACATAAATTCCCTCGGTTTTTCATAAAATCGAGGTGAAAAAAAACTCAGTAAAAGCTTTGATTATAAGCTATCACAATTTATGATTCTATTTGTTTATAAGTGTAAACAAAATATTCTAACCCTTCGGTTTTCAATTTAACCGAGGCATAAGATAATAAGATTTTACTATAAAAGCAAAGCACTCGTTAAACATATTTTACCTTAATCCTTACTAATATGAGGCAACCCAAACTCGCAAGCATCCACTACTACACATAATACTTTTTATGACGAAGATTTCACCTAGAACATGCCGAAAACTGAGCTTATAGGTCTTGGGAGCGACATGTTTAATTTTTTTTAAAACAACTTTTTACCTTGGTTTTATAATACATTAGTAAGTGAGTGCCAAATCTTCTAAAAAAATAATATTAAACCTAATACCTCAGTGTTTTTTAAAAACCGAGGTAACACAACTATTAGGGAACACACTTCGAATCCCAGTAACTGTATTTAAAGTTTTTTTCAGTGATTTCTTACTTGTCGCCTTCCAATCTTTCCTTTTTTTCTTAGTTAAAATTTTTTTCTTCATTTTTTTCTTCTTAATGAGTAATTCTCAAATTTTTTTATTATCAATAAAAATAAATAGGCAATAATATGAATGGAAATATTTAATTAATTAAAAACGGGACAAGAAATAACTATTTCACATATTCAAATTTCTGACTTCACTCAACTTCAATAGTATCACTATTAACTATCCCTAACTTAGAGAATAGTTTAGAAAGAACTCTTCCATATGGTATGAGAAAAGTTATTTCATCCCTAGAGATGATTATCATTTCCTTTAAGAAATTAAAAATGGTAAGAGGAAGATTAACTATGATATTCTTAGTAAGGAATAAAAGTAGATGCTTGTCATTCCAAGTAAGCGTTTCCAGTTCTTTCTCTCTTGGGCGAAGATTTAACACTAAAAGTTGATACAAAACTTTTTCAATTGATTGTAGACTAGCAGAACTGCTGTGATTATTGTTGATTGCATAAATTAGACGAAGGTGATCTTTAAAGACATTGTTGAATCTATAATGTTCAACACAAACATCTTACTCTTCACATTTTATTGTTTGAGCAATAAGTGACTGAGTAATTGTGATAGGAAAACCATTGACATAGGACTGAATTGACTCAGCATCATGACTAGATGGCCAAATTGAGACATTTAACCAGAACTCTTTAACGAGATTAATGTAGATGAGTCCATTAAGAATGTCAAAGTAACCATTCAACTTTTGTTTGCGAATATTTGTCCTTAGATCAAAATCTTTGTCTTTCAAATCATCGAAATCGACAAACTTTTCATTGATTACGAACAAAAGATTTTCATCTAAGGTTGTTGAAGACATTTTTGAAGAAAAGACTTTAAAACTAAGTTTGAAGACACAAAGAGTTGGAAATGAGACGTTGAAACAAGAAATAGTGTTTAAATAAAGTGGAGAATAGGAAGTGAAACAATCAGAGAAGCTTAAACGCATTGAACATCCAAAAGATACGTTACATTTTTGAATATGGATGATCATTACTATTCTAGTGGATATGATTTCAATGCGCGCCATGATTTTTTTTTTTAGAAGTAGAAATCAGATATTATCTCGGTTTTTCAAAAAATCTTAAGGGAAAAACAATTCAGAAAACTATTTTTATTTATTATAATTTTTTTTTGTAAACTAAATGATGTATCCTGTCAGTTTCCTTAATAACCGAGGTATAAGATACATAACATTTTACTATAAAAGCACTCGTTAGACACATTTTACCCTAATCCTAACTTATATGTAGCCGTTCCAAACTCGTTAGAAGTAGAAATCACATCATTCTTTTGGGATCCATCTCAAAAAATGGTGTTGATGTTGTTGTTGTTGTATTTAGAAGCTTGTAAAAGTTCTCTATGATGGATTGCAAGTGCAGAAAAATATTTTTTCAATAGAAGTTGGACGCATTCAATGGTTGGACCAGATAAATCTTTAGAAATTGGATACGTGCAATATTTGGACCAGATAACCTGTTACACAAAAATTCTGGTTTTGCTGTATTATTTTTTTTTTCAATATTATGTTTAAATAATGTAATTAAAAAAAATTTCGGTGTTCTTAAACAAATATTTGTCGTTTATTTCATGATTATCAATGATTAAGAAACTACCATTAGTGATTTGCGTGTTACCTAAAAAATTTCCATTATAAAGGCTTTCTGATATCTAAAGTTGATAAAGAAATGCCATGAAGCGATTGAAATTATCTATATCCTCCACTTTAACTTTTGCCATTAGCGATGAATTGCAAGTGCAGAAAATTATCTGTGTTTAAGGTTTGTGTTTTTAAATATTCATTTGAGCAGAAAATTATTTATTTTTATATCCTTTTTTTTGTAACCCTTTTATTGTTTTATATTAGAAACAAATACTTGCTAGGTGAAATAGTTTTTACTTTAATATTCTACGTAAACAATGTAATATTCTGGGTAAACATTTAAGTTTGTAAATAAATTATTTTTATTTATTTTCTGCGTAAGCAATGTCATAGTCTGGGTAAACATTTAAGTTTGTAAACAAATTATTTTTATTTATTTTCTGTGTAGAAATGTAACGTTTCTAATAAAAAACAATCTAACTTACCCTAGGTTTATTCATAAACCAAGATGTATGAGACGCTAGTTTTGTAAATAATAAAAATGCAGATGATGAGATTCAAACCCATGTG